CCCGCCCCCTCCCCGCTCGCGTCGACCTCGCGTGTATTTCGACGCGATGAAAAAGAGCAACTCCAAACGGGACCGTCGGAGTCTTCACGCCACTGAATGGGAGACGATCAGTCGTGGTGCAGGTGCCAGAAAGAGTATGCGCGCTAGCGAGTGATCGTTGGACGAGGACGAGCGTAGCGGTTGCGGGAGTGGGCAGGAAACGGTTCGGTACGGGCTATGTAAGACGACGAGGCGGCGGCCGTGGGGTCCGATCGAGCCGAGTTTCCATCGAGACCGGAGTAGTGTCCGATCGGCTGTCGCGGCGCGTGGAGGCTTTACGCCGTTTGTAATCTGTTCGCCTCGTACGATCGTAGGATACGACTGATCAACGGAGAACCCGATCAGGGGATTCGGACCGAAGTTTTGTTCCGCGGGTAGGTTACCGCGAACGTCTCGATTATCCACGCGAGAGAGAGAGAGAGAGAGAGAGAGAGAGAGAGAGAGAGAGAGAGAGAGAGAGAGAGAGAGTGTCTGAATTGGAGAACGGAACGTCCTCGATGAAAAGTGCAGGATTGAGATGAATCCCGTCGTCGACAGGAACGCGCGATTGAGAGAAGTAGTGAAGTGGTGACGAGGTAAATTCTACCGCGACGTCGGTGTCTTGCGCGGATTTCACTCCCGAATATTTTACTCGCGTGTGGTTGACGTGACCGTTCCGGTGATCGATCTTACTGGCTGGTCGGAAAAGAATCCTCTCGGAGAAGAAGAAGAGAAGAAGCAAAGATCGAAGTGCCTTTCCTCGTCGTATTGTTATCGTATTGTTAATTCAACGGCATACGAAATGGAGGACACGACGTCCGGAGGACAAGATCCGTCCAATATCCTTTTGATGTCGAAGATCGGCGCGATGGTCGGTCTTGGCTTTGGTTCCCTCGCACTGGGAACGCTGCCATTGATGGTGGGACGTTACAGAGCCAAGAAGCAACTTCGTCAGAAACGCCACCAGAAACGTCGCCAGGCGATGTCTTCCAATTCTAACACTTCCACGTCCACTTCAACATCCGACGCTTCCCCGCCGCACGTTGATTCGGCCTCCGCGGCGAATAAGCAAGTACGTCCGAGGAACGATCAGAAATCCTAGCCTGCTCCACTCGCAGCATCTCCGGAAAGCTCGTCTTTGTGCCAGTGTTATAATCGCATCGACTCGCTGCAGACGTTACGAGGTCACATTCGGGGAAAAATAATGAATGCAATCAAGGATATCCAGTGGAACATTCTTGATACCGGTGGATATCCTTGGATCTATTAATTCTACCTGCGTTGTATATAGATCGTTTTTTAAATTCCCGAATATCGATTATGCTCCATTTTATCTTCGTTAAGCGTACGGCTCATTCTGATTTCAAATACTGTACAATGTGTTAATGTACGAGCAATTTTAAATACGTTTAAAGTGGCACAAAGTCGAGACGAATAATATTTGATTATGTTAGAAATAGGGAAGTCGTGTTTGCAAAAAATGCTTAATAATAGTTGATCTAACTCATCTAATGATTATCGATCGATAAATATTAATTGTAATCCGGAGTAGCTGCTCTTAGGATGCTCGGCATTTATAGACTCTCTGGACTATTTGGAATCAATTTGGAATTAATCTTGATTCTTTTAGCTGCAAACATCGTATATATATATATATATATATATATATCTGCTTATAACAGTAGAGATAAGTTAAATTTTAAACAAATCATTACAACTTCTTATCATGAATATCACTTATTTTATATTACGATATATTATTTTATAAAAAGTTGATTCCACAAAATGGTCAAAGAGTCTATAGAAATTACTAATCCGAGCACCCTACCTTAATGCGAATATAAATTCTAAAACGGATTCCAAAGCACCGCGGCATCGTCTTCAGGGTCTCTTGACGTCGCTCTTGCTCTGCTTCGGCGGCGGCGTGCTCCTGTTCACGACGTTCATACATCTGGCACCGGAAGTTCGCGCTAGCGTAGAGACACATCAGTCGAATAAACAACTGCCCGATTTGGGCTCCCTCGGTCTGGCTGAGCTGCTTTTCTGCGGTGGTTTCTTCCTCGTTTATTTGGTCGAGGAAGCTGTGCATGCCGCCCTTACCGGCAAACCCGAGTCTTCGGAAGCATTACTTTACCGAACAGTGTCGGTGCGTAGATGCAACAACAATCAGACAGGTCCATCAAGTTCGTCGGTGATGTCGAACGGCTCGATCACCACCGTGTCCACGACGACCAAGTCCACCGCGTGGAAGGACACCGATGATACCGGGGACAGCAAAGATCCGGCAAACCGGCTGAAACTCCAGCTCGATGATTCTCATCGCGATCAAGCAGGCAAGGACGACAAAGTGCTGCCGCCTATATTCGTCCTGCCTGTCGCGTTATCGAACGAAGAACGTAAGGTTGTTCGGAGGCATTCTGATCTGGAATTAGCAATTCCGGAACTAAACTACCCGATCAATCATCATCATTCCCATGATCATCATCATCATCATCATCATCATCAGCACGGCACGATGCAAAACACCTCAATACAAGGACTACTGACTGTGCTCGCATTATCCTTTCACGCGATATTCGAAGGTTTGGCGGTGGGTCTGGAACCATCTATCAGTTCAGTCGCATATCTGGCAGCCGCTATCGCGACCCACAAACTGGTGATCGCCTTCTGCGTCGGAATGGAGCTCTACGTGGCCGGCGCGTCGACCAAGACCACCCTCGGCTACCTGTTAATCTTTGCCATGGTTACACCGATCGGGATCGCCGTGGGACTCGTCCTCGCGCACTTCAAGAACGACAGCGAGAATTTGGGACCCACACCCACCATCCTCCAGGGCATGGCGGCTGGTACCCTACTTTACGTGGTATTCTTCGAGGTGCTGGCGCGGGAGAGGGCAAACGAGAAGAGCGGCTTGCTGCAGCTAGTCGCAATCATTATTGGCTTCACGCTGATGCTGGGTCTACAGATCGCCAGTGAGTTCGTTTCCCGGAAGACGAGGGAATCCCCCGCGTCTCCAAAATGCACCGGAGCGTATCGCGGCGCAGCAACATACCGCTGATGCCGGATAAATGCATTATCGTCAGTCTGACGATGTCCTTCGTAGCGGCGCTTACTGCGCGTTTCCGTTTCCCCATCTGCTTTTCGCGTGACCGGTAAATTTCCGCGTGTCAAAACGGGAAATCGCGCACAAATTTATTATTGTACGGTGAAAGTTCATCCCGGCTCCATTAAGATTCACCGGAAGCTATCTCTTCCTCAACTACCTCGACGCGAATTTGCGTACAAGTGCATTATTATTCACTAGAGACCAGTTTTATCTTGACTAATTCAGACATTTATCCTGGTTGTCTTCAGACTAGTGTATAATGTTTCACATACGAATTATCGATTCAAAATCTATGATCTTTACTAGGTGAACATGTCGATAAAGCTCATCGCGGCTTCTCAATCGTAAATATTTAATATTCTTCCCACATACAGCTAGAATACATTTTAGTATTCTTCCCGTGTAAAATTACCGTTAAATTCAATTTGACAATATTGGCAGTTTTTGCAGTACCGTTTATCCAGATACGGTGAATGTTAAAGTCAGATTATTTTCTTCTTAATAATTCATTAAGACAAGGATAACGTGACTTTAGCATTCACCGCTATTTATTGCAAAAAAAAAACTCTAATTACTTACGGTAAAATTACGGTAAAATGGTAATTTATTGGCAATTTTGGTAAAATTTATTGCCTTCATAGTTTTATGTACAAATAGATTGCATTTCCGTACTTATGTGTAAAATAAAACAACATTCTTCTAATATTCCTAATAAGAATCGTTGATAGAATAACAGGGCTATTGACAAAATCTAAACTTTATACTTTAATCGGAACGGAATTAAATGTTGTCAATGTTGTTATCTAGAGATGTAAAAGTAACGTTTACAAACGTTACAATAAATTTAATTTGATAATTACTTAGGGTAAAATTGCGATAAAATTTAGTAATTTTGATAAAATTTGTGGTTTTTTTAATAGTTTTAAACACACAACTAGGTTTTATTTACGTTCTTCACATTGATGCATAAGATAAAACAACATTCTTCTAATATTCTCACCGAGAATATAAATCGCTGATAAAATAATAACAAAATCATTCGCTAACTTCAAACATAAAATCGATGCTAAAGTCCGTTTTCAATATAGTCTGTGTCATTATATTATTATTTCCCTAAAGATTAAAAATTAGCAAAAGTATTTATAAATAAATATCATTGATGAATCTTTTGGTAACTATTATCTTTAGGTAACCATATAATGTGGACATTCAGATCCAATTTCACAAATGTAAGATTGAACTTTAATTTCAGTTTAACTTAGTCTCGAACTTTTTCTAATTTCAGAATTAGAAAAAGATATTGACAACATATTGACAACACATTGGCAATGTGTGTTATCAAAATGAAAATATGAGTTAAATAAAGCGTTTTTAACTCAATGGCTAAATGCTTTACATCAAATTATTTTATTTTTATCATTTTTTTTTTAAATTTTACCAGGTTCCAAAAATTACTGACTGATTTACCGTAATGTACCGAGTAAATTACCGTCAAATTCGGTCCTTTTCGTCTCTATATACAGCACAGAAGTTTGCAGCAACATTGCAAATATTACAGTAATGTTACTGCAAGTGTTGCGATTGAAATTTTTAGAATCACCCGTCACGATTGTTCCATCAAGGATATTCGATATCCTTGCAATTAAAATTTTCAGAATCGCACGTCTCGGTGCAAACCTATTACAGGTACGTCCTTGATACACTTCACGTGTTGGTTCTTCGGTACTTATCTAATCTATCGATTTGTCTTAAACCGACGGGCTACAAACTGAATAGTCAGGGTCAGGGCAAATTGGAGTAAGAGAAGCAGGTCCCTCGTCATAGAAATTCTCGTGGCGTGCAATGTTCGTTTGTTCAGAACTTGCGAAAATAAATCTTATCTGGACGTTTTATACGTTTGTTTAAAAAAAAAAAATTGATATACGAATCAGGCAGATATGTGTATGTGTACGTGTATATATGAGTGTGT